CTGCAACATAATATAAACAATTTAATGTTGTGTTATTAAAGTCATTAATTTTGTTATTTGCAAGAGATACCGATTGTATTGTGGTTGGAATCTTTAAGTTTATTTTTATTTTCTTTCATTAGAATATTCAAAAATTCTGAAAAAAATTTCCTATCATCTTCTTGATACGAACTATGTGAAACGCTTTTCATATATTGTGAAACTGCAATTATTTTTAGATTGTTTTTAAACTGGAGAGCATTTGGTATGACATTCTTCGAACGTATAATAGAAAACAAATTTTCTACGCAATCCTGCATGAAGCGCGATGTAAGTACAAATTCAAAGTTTTCACAGTTTAGTAGATATTTTGATAAATCAATAATTGATTGCATTGATATTATTATCCCTGTTTGAAATGGTTTCCATGCGCCAGATTGACCAATTTTTATAGAAGTCATTAATTCTATAAGTTCTTCCAAAAAGGCTATTGTTTCAGAAAATTTGTTTTCCGATAATCTACTCAAAGCTATTCTTAAATTTTTAGAACTCATAATTTTAAACCACTTTGACATCATATTAATAAACCAAGCAGTTGTAATAAACTTTAAGGTTCCTTTTTCATGTGAAATAAATTCCAATCCTGAACTAACCGCATTACTTATTACGCCTGTAGCACTGCTTACTTTCATCTTCAGAAAATTATTTTTTGAATCCAATAACTTTCTTTTTAATTTTGGAGCTAATGCTAAACCAAAATCTAAAGCAGTTTCTTGTACTGAACATAATTCTTTTAAATGAGATGCTTCTACTTTATTTGTTGGTAGAGAATACTTATTAACAAAATTATCTGGAATAATAATATATTCATTTCGTAACACACACACACACACACACACACACACACACACACACACACAATCCTTGATTTAAGTTTTTAAAGGCATGTGCTACATTATGAAAAAAATAAAGTTTTCTATTTTTATCAGTTGGATGTATATAACTGTTGATGATTTTAGAATATGCTGAAGCCGTAACATCAAATGATCTCCACATAGCCATATTTGAGGAACCCATATCACATGTAATACTGTGTACACGGAGGCCAATCTCTTCAGTCTTATTAATTATGTGGCGACTCGCCACTAGAGGTCCACGGGACTCACTCGGTTCGCGTAAGCGCCTCACCGCGCGAATTTTCTTTTAAATAGAATATCATTCTGGATTCATTCCAGGCGTCTAAGGCAAGTCCCCCATTACATCGCCTTACTGATGAGTCTAGTAGTGTGGGACCAAGACGAAACGCTGCGGCCGACTCCAAAGCTTCGAGTCAGGCCTTCTTGGTGGACATATTCATAATTATATCACATAGGATTAATTTTAATTTGGACCTATCAAAAGAATTTCCTGTAAAATAATATGCAATTATCTGTTTCCATCTACTACCGATATCTGCAAGCATGATAATCAAAGCATGTGTTGCAAAATCGTCGGAATTAGAAAGGCATTTCTAAAATTGATATGTCGTAAATAAGTATTATTATGTTGATCAAATGAACGGCTAGGTGTTATGCTCATTTCATCCAAAATTATAGCACACTGTTTATCAATGTTATTTGTAAATTGAGATACTTTAATTTGTAAAAACTTGAATATTTCATGTAATATCCCACTATCAAATTTTAAATTTTGAAGTCGTCTACATAAAGTCCTCAAACATGGTAATGTCGAATCTTTTCGTAACGTTTCATACCCTGTACTTCCGCAAATAAATTTATATTTATATGCTTTTCGCAAAGTTTCTTCTGACCAACTAGGTACTTTCTTATAATTATTGCATACTCGTACAAGTAAAATTTGATCTTGATTTAAAAACTTTGTAAGAGTATGCGGCAATTTATCAATTATATTTTTTGTTTTTTGCTGTAATCTTTTAATTTTGCGTTTGAAAATTTTATTAACATCGTTTGCTTTTAATAATTGTTGTTTTAGTCTGGGAGATGATGACACTAAAATGGTCATGATTTGTTACCGCTTGAAATCGTCATAATTCGTCATTTATTAGATAAACATGCAGGAAACGCAAGTATGGCAAACCTCCCGCGGTTTTAAAATTGATAGCGTGTGATTGAAGTTGTCAAAAATTTGTTGCTTTTTTCCTAATATGTTACCGGCTGGCATGTGTTTCTAGTGATAGTTTACGTCAAAA